ACACCAATTTTCCGTTGATTTTCGAGATTTGAGATCTCGATGAAAAAATGAGTTACGGGCTTCGTTCTTTTTAATTTTCTACTTAGTATTGATGTAAATGTTCATAAAAATTTTTATAGAATTTTTAACCGAACAAAAGTCGATATTTCTAGTCTGGTCCTATCTTTTTTTCCACCCCAAAAATTGAGTAGTATTGTTTAAAATTTTTTTGATAAAATTCTGTCGATAAAGTATACTGATATTTATACTCATTTTAAAGAGCACATAATGGCCTAAAATTTTTGTGTTGAAACTTTTTTCCTAAATGCCATTAAAAAAGAGATAAGCGAAAAAAACTAAATTAACAGCCTCTGGTCCTATCTTTTTTTCCGGCACTGTATATAAAATATTTATTTTAGACACTCTTGCGCACCTAAAAACGAAAACAAAAAAATCTTTTTATTTGTTTTGGCAGTAAATATTAAACAATAAAAAAATACTTTAGTGCACGCGTGCTTCTTTTCTTCTTCTCCTTCCTTCCCTTACTAATCCACTGTTGTTTGTTATTTTTTTTCTAATAAAACTCAAAACACCTACACATTTTTTATAACACTTGTCTAGTGTTTACAATACTTGCTAGATAATAATTTTTTTATTTTTTACACAAAAAATCTTTTCGGGGACAAATCGATTTTGAATTTTCACTTTTACGCCTATCTGTAAGATCGGGTTACTCTCGAGGTTATATTTCGGGAATGGATGAACTTTTTTTGATCATTTTTTGATCATTCGATAGAGAATTAAATTTGCTAGAAAACCTCTAAAAATTAAAATTTAAAATTTAAGAGGAGAAAAGTTATAATGGGAAAAACTCTAAAAGGTCACATTTGGCCGATTATAAGCAATCAAATTTTCAATTTTAATCCTTTATCAATTTTATTTTTAAATTTTATTTTTTATTGTTTTAATACCAAATCAAATTTACTATTCAAAATTAACAATTTATTTTTTAAATATTCATCCATTCTCAGGTTACAGAGTAAAGAGACATTTTACTCAAAAATGTTAGTATTTTTGACCTTAACTTTTTCTGTTACTAATCTAAAATTTTATTTCTGATTTTGTTTTATAGCAAATTTAATTCTATATCGAAAGATTACAAAAGATTTTTTATCCTTTCATTTTCTCCAAAGTTATTGAGTATAAACTGACGTGTGTCCACACACAGGGGTGTACCTCCTCAATATTTCATTTTTATTTTCTTTATTTGTTTGCCAGTTAAAATTATTATTCTAAGTTATCTTGTAGCAAATTTAATTCTCTATTGAATGACATCAAAATCATAAAAATCGGTCCACTCATTCACTAGTTACAGTTATTTAAATAGGTTGTGGTCTACCCCCTCTACTCACAAAATTTTGCTTTCTCCTCCTGCCAAAAAATTAAAAAAATCTTTTCCGGATTAATTTACCGGAAACAAAAACCGGAAAATAATTGACACATTCTTGCTAAAAAAAGTTAAAAAATTTAAAATTGAAGCCAATCAATCATAAAAAAATTTTTTTGAGCAATTAAATATTTGAGGGGATGTCAACTTAAAATATAAATTGAGAGGGAACGTCAGTTAAATATTTGAAACATTAAAATACTTAAAATAAAATGAAAGTGATTGATTGTTAAAATTTTCTTTTTTTAAATTTTTGTAGAGAAAATATTTCATTTTTTTTAAATTTTCATTGTTTTATTTTTTTAATCTTCCGTTCATTAAATTATAGGGACAGTTAGGCGCAGAAACGGTTAGGCGCTATCACCTGTAACTTTTGATTGGATTATTACATTTCGATAATTTTGGTATCATTCGATAGCTATTTAAATTCTTTATTAAACTATTATTGTTAGAATATAATGTCTCCCTATGTGTCCTTATACTAAGATAATCATCATCTTTTCTGTATTATCATGTTTTATTATTATCCGAATATGGACTTAAATGTACATATATCAGGGTTATAGTCAAACTGATCCATGAAATTGGGAGAATTTCAACCATCGTCTGTTCAAGAATCACGATTCCCAAAATTGGGAATTTAATTTTTATCTCGGCTAGATCCTTGATATTGGTAAGTTGTAGGTTCTATTAAGGCAATTGCCCCTTCCCTTAGGTGTTTTTTAAATTATGATTTTATTTTTTGTACTATTTATATTTTAGGGTCTCTCACAATAAAAAAAAATAAATTTAAAATATTTTTAAAAGACAATTTTAATTTCTAAAGAATTTATTTTCGTTTTTTGAACGCAATAAAAAATAAAATTTATTTCCTCAAAGCATTTATTTTATTTATTTCTCATTGTTCAGCTTAACGACCTTTTATATATTCTAAGAACATTAGTTTTTTAAAGCCTAAAAATTATTCACATAAAATAAAAAAACTTTTTTTTGTGTTTCTGCCATTTTTATTTCTTCTTTATTTTCTTTAGTTCTTTCAATAGACATTTATTTATTGCTTGTTACTAGCCATTTTTGTTTGTTTTTCCTTTATTTTACCCCTCTAATTTTCTTTTGCTTCATCTAACATTGCGTGGAACACGTAAATAGTGAAGCTTTTTTATTTTTTTGGCCATTAAATATGTGGGGAAAAATTTCTTTCTTTTTTTTAGTTTTACGCTTTTAAAGGTAGAATAGAGTGTTCCCCGCGACTCATTCTACGCAAAGTTTCATAACTTTTGAGCAAATAAATTTTATTTATCAAATTTGGTATCATTCGATAGAGAATTAAATTTGCTATAAGATAAATCTTAAAATTAAATTTTTGAGTTGATTTTGAAAAAAATTTTTTGGTCAAAAAACGAGACATTATAACGCTCTCTCCATTCAAACTAAGAATCATTTCTTCCCTCAAACTTTCTTTCTTTCCAAACTTTAAATATTTTTTTAAATTTATTTTTGTACCAGATTCTCTCCTCTATCCAAAAATATTTTAAAAATAAATAATTTATTAAGGATTAAGAAAGTTATAAGGCTCAGAAACCCAAGGTCGAAAATACAAGTGGCGCTATCTTTGTGTTACACTCTATAATAAAATTTATTATTATAAAAATTTTTTAAAAATTGCTTTCTTTTTATTATTGCTACATAATATCCTTATCTATATTCTTTCAAAATTTGAAACAGATCCATTTAATATTTGGTAGGATATTGATAACAACTAGGTGGCGCTATCATTATGTTACAGAGTGTACTGGTTGTGTTACCTTCTATTTTTTAATTTTTTTAAATTTTTAAATAAATAAAAATTTTATTTTTTCTTATTTGTCTTTATTTTATGTTTTCTATTTAAAAAATTTATTTTTTAACAAAAAAGTTTATTTTTTTTTTCAAAATTTCTATTAAAAACTTCACATAGTTGAAAATAGCTTGTCATTCACTTAAGCTTCCGCCTTCCCTCAAATTTTTCTTTTTTTTCATTTTTTCATCATTTTTGCTTCATTTATAGAGCAAAGATTGAGCGAATGCTTTGAAATAATTGAAAGAATGCCTTGTCCAAAAAGGAAACCAAAAAATAAAAAAAAGGAAAACTATATTAAATCCATAAGCTTATAAATGAGCCCCAAGAGATTGAATTTATCGGAAAATGCCAAAAACCAAAAAAGTCAATTTTTACTTTTTTGATGCTTTTGTGTGTGTGTTTTAGTTTCCTTCCGTTCTAAATTTATTAGAAAATAATTCCCTAAAATTTATTTTTAATTTTTTTCTTCTATTGTTAAAAATTGTTTCAGTGAGGGGAACGCTTAGTTCCCGAACGTATAAATTTATGAGGGATTAACTTTTAAATTTTATTCGTTTTTTATTCGATAGGGAATTAAATTTACTACAGTTTTTATCAAGTAGAAAAATTTTTTGTTAATAAGTTTAGAAAGATATGATTAAACCCCTATCATTTTTTGGGGTAAAATGTACGATTTTTGAACAGTTTTGTACCGGAAAATTTTTTATAAATTTTAATTTTTGTTTTATTTTGTAGCAAATTTAATTCTTTATCAATGTTATAAAAATATTTTTTATCGGTTTATCCCTTCAAAAGTTATGACGCAAAAACTCTCGTGCGTTCATAGAGAAGCACTTTCTCCTATTTTCCTACTTATTCTGCTTATTCTCATATAAAATTATTATTTTAAAATTTTTTTGTATTAAATTTAACTTTCTATCTAGAGCAATAAATTAAGTTAAAAATTTTTTTGTTAACTTATTAAGTATTGACTTAAACTGAACTGAAGTCGGCATTATATGTTTACAAGAGTTCTTCCGCCTCCTTCTTTTATATTCTTTTAATTAATTTTTTAAAATTTAATTTATTTTGTAGCTAATTTAATTCTTTATCGAATGGTATAAAGCTTTTTTTAAAAGGTCCATCCTCTCTAAATTTATCGTGTCACGACACTTGCAGATATGACATTTGCAGACCCGACTTTTGCAGACCCGACATTTGCAGACCCGACATTTGCAGATACCGACACTTGCAGATAAGACATTTGCAGATCCGACTTTTGCAGATTAGACCCATTTCGCTCTCTTCTTTACCTTACCTATGTACCGTGGAGTGTTTGCTGCTGCGGAGGAATCCTGGGATGCCCATCTCATCGATGATAGGAATAGGATCATGTTACGAGCTTAGAGCACAGCGACCGTCGACAACCCGCGAGGCGCGTGCCGCAAAACCCCGCGCGAAGCGCGGGGTTTTGCACAAGCGCCTCGCCGACGCTCCATAGGTCTACATTGAACATTTTGAACCTCCGGAAAAAAAGAATCTCCGGAAAAAAGAGTGGTGCCGTTCGACTCAGCTCGTCAAGACTAATTGGTATGGGTATTATATTTGATTTTTTAAGATTTTTAAATTTTTTAAAAATTTTTTTTTCAAAAATTAATATCTGCAAAAGTCGGGTCTGCAAATGTCTGATCTGCAAGTGTCATAGCTGCAAGTGTCGGTATCTGCAAATGTCGATCTGCAAAAGTCGTCTGCAAATGTCGGGTCTGCAAATGTCATATCTGCAAGTGTCGTATGACCAAATTTATGAAGTAAAAACTGACGTGTCCACCAGGGATTCTGCCGTCCCGTTTCTCGTAACTCGGGAATTCCCGACGTTTTTTGGGTCGGGATCCCGATTTCCCGAGATTTGGAATTTTGGTTATTTGTCGGGATCACTGATGTCTACACGTAGAGGGGTATTGTTAATAAATTTCATACATATGAATTTATTAATCTATGTATTTTTATTAATCATTTCCAAAGCTATGAAGCTTGCAATGAAGCTACCCCTTAATAAAACACTTAAATATCCCCCCCCCCCCATTTTTTCTTTTCTATCTTTATTTTTAAAAAATTATTTTATTTCCGAATCTAGCTACTTATATTTCCTTTAGCTAATTTTAGAAACTCTCAGTCCATTATCAGCTTTCTTTTTCTTTTATTTTTACTTGGCATTTTTTCCTCCAGAAATTTACAAGCTTATTATTATTCCCTTTTCTATATATAGAAGAGAGTTGTTTTTAAATTAAGACCAAAGAATTTTTATTTTATTTATTGTTCCAGAAATATTTTTAGAAGGGGAATATAAATAAATAAATTTGCAAATAAACAATAAAGAAACAAATTTTGGTTAATTTATTATTTTTTTGGAATGAATGACAAATTTAAAAAAATAAAATTTTATTTTGGATGAAATGAGATCCATCTTGCTAGCATTTAAAATTAGAGTAATATTGGGGTAGCTTTATAAAAATCAAGATCGATGGCAGTCCGTGTCTCCTAATTATCTCCTAATTATTACCCCAACTTTATTCTATTCGTGTCACGACACTTGCAGATATGACATTTGCAGGCCCGACACTTGCAGACCCGACTTTTGCAGACCCGACATTTGCAGATACCGACACTTGCAGATATGACACTTGCAGATCAGACATTTGCAGATCCGACTTTTGCAGATTAGACCCATTTCGCTCTCTTCTTTACCTTACCTATACACCATGAGTGTTTGCTGCTGCGGAGGAATCCTGGGATGCTTATCTCATCGATGATAGGAATAGGATCATGTTACGAGCCCAGAGCCCAGCGACCGTTGACTCCCCGCGAGGCGCGTGCCGCAAAACCCCGCGCTTCGCGCGGGGTTTTGCACAAGCGCTTCGCCGATGCTCCATAGGTCTATTTTGAACATTTTGAACCTCCGGAAAAAAGAGAATCTCTGGAAAAAAGAGTGGTGCCGTTCGACTTAGCTCGTCGAGACGAATTGGTATGGGTCTTATATCAAAACCTTTCCACCGGTATATATCCTTTGATTTTTATATCCTTCGATTTTTTAAGATTTTTAAATTTTTTTAAAATTTTTTTCAAAAATTAATATCTGCAAATGTCTGATCTGCAAAAGTCGTCTGCAAATGTCGGATCTGCAAATGTCATATCTGCAAGTGTCGTATGACCATTCTATTTCTTCAACCTTATTGTACATATTTCTTTTGTGTGATAAACACATATTGTATTGCTTATTGTTGTGCAATGACACAACAATCATCAATTTCTAAATTTTTTCGAAATCTTTTCTTGGTCTGTTTTTTGTCTAAAACGCTTACATGACGGTTTTAAGACAGGGTGGCCCTTTTGCCCTATTTACAGGGCATTTGCCCTATTTTCGACCTTTCTGCCCTATTTTTTCCCTATTTTTACATTTGCCATATTTTTGCCCTATTTTTACCATTTTGTAAAATTTTTACAATTTTAAAATTTCGTAAATCAAATGGCAGAAAAAGTAAGAAATCTGGCTCAAGAACCTCCAAAATTCTCAAAATTTTCGCCTGCGGCGCAAAAAAGGAAGAAATCTAGCTTCTTGGCCTTAAAAAATTCTCAAAATTTTTGCCTGCGGCGCTGAAAAAGGAAGAATCTGTGAAGACTGTTCGAAAATGAGGGATTGGAGGGGCTTGAGTGGAATATAGGTTGATTTTACTATAGAAGATAGGAGGATTTACTAGGATTATAGGGGATCTGACTGGATAACGAGGGATTTGTATTGATAAAGAGAGATATCAATGAGAGATATAAATGGATTTGAGAGATTAATGGTGTATAGGAGGATTAAGGTGAATAAAAGATTAAGTTGGATATAATGTAATGTATATGAAGGGACATCGGGGGAAATCCCCAATTACCTCGATATCTCTCTTAATTCCACCAATCCTCTTAATTCCACCAAAGTGCAATTTAGTTAAAACTAGTGAAAGATAGATAGAATAAAGCTTCTCAATTGAAATTTTAATTATTTTAAGATTTTTAAATAATGCCCTATTTTTTGCCCTATTTTTGGCCGATTTCGCCCTATTTTTGCCCTATTTTTTAGTGGCTTCGCCCTATTTTAGTGTTTCGGAAAGGGCCACCCTGTTTTAAGATCTATTAAAATCAGAAGGTTGCCAAATTGTGCAGTCTGTAGAGCATCTCCGGGTGGCTTTTACTTTCAATTTCCGAATAGATCATTTCTTTCAATTTCCGACTTACGATTTTTAAGTATAAATTCAATCCCTCTCATTCTAAAAAGATGAACATTATTCTCTATAATAGAGCCTCGAAGGGGCTTTATTCTTTCAACTATCCTACAAACTATTATAGCTTCATTAAATAAGGGGCTTAATTCAGGGGGTCGTCTTTAATATAGAAAATACACGATTCAATATATTTTTATTTTTGTAATTATAATAATGTACTATTAGCCAATTCTATTAAAAATAAAATTGTTTATTTGCTTTCATTTATTTATTTATGCATTCCACTATTTACACTACACTACTCTCCCTTTTTTTAAATAAAAATTCTTTTATATAAATAAAAATATTTAAAAATAAAAACAGAATAATTGCGGACATGTTGCAAACATTTAGCTTCAACTTTGTTTATATTCGTTCGAAAAATTTGATCTCAAATTTAGAAAATAGCTAATAAAGGGGTGTATTGGGGAGAAAATATGTTTTTAAATTTTCATTTAAATTAAAAAAAAAAATTTGGTACTTAAAAATCAAAATTTTGTATTAATTTTACATAAAAATTCATATAATTTTCATTATAGTAAAATCAGTTCAACCTAAACTTATATCTTTAAAAGCCTGTTAAATGATCTAAATATAACTTTATAAAAATATTTTTTAGTTTCTTTTTGAAAAAATAGTTTATAAGGACTTTTAGACAAAATATGAATGCCCGTATAACTCAAGAATGAGTGAATCTTTAATTTATTTAAATTAATTTCTGTATTTGAATTTTTTTTTGTTTTAGAAGCAAAAAATTTTTTTGTAGCAAATTTAATTCTCTATCAGAAATAATTCAAAATAATTTTTTAGCTTTTTCTGAAACAGAGTTTTGCTTGTCCGCATTAACCATGTCCGCATCTACACTTGACTCCTTCCTTCCTTTGTTTATTTTTTTGTTTTTCCCAAACGCTTGCACTTTTTATTCCCTTAAAATTACGGGAAATGAATATATTCACTTTTTAGTGAATATTGTTGTTTTGTTTTTATTTTTTTATTTTTATTCTGTCTTGTATTACTATTTTTATATATTCAGAAATTTTTTTTGTGTAAAAAACAGAAAAACAAAAATTTTAATTTAAATATTTTATTAAAAAATTCACAAAAAAGTACACAATAAATTCTTTTGAAAAAATATTTTTACCCTTTTAGAATTATTCAATGATTTTCGTAAACAAGAGATTATAACAATAAAATTATTACTCATACTTGTGTTAGATAAATTCTGATTTGGAAAATATAAATTCTGATAGGGAGGTTCAAAATTTTGATTTCAGATTTTTATTTAAAAAGCTCATAAATTCTAAATAAAGTACCGTCGCCTTTAATAAATTCTGGTTCTTTCAAATAGTTCTGATTTGTAAAATTATTAATTATTCTGATAATAATAAAATTATTTGTTAAAGAATACAAATTGTAATTTTACCCCCAGAATCTCAAATTCTGATTTTACAAAAAACCAAATAATTATTGAAACACAAATTCTGATTTATAAAATTATAAATTATTATGAAAAGAAAATTATGATATTAAAGAATTCTTCTCTCAGAATTACAAATTCTGATTTTACAAAAAACCTAAATAATTATAGAAATCCAAATTCTGATTTGTAAAATTACATATAAATTATTCTAATAATAATAGGAAATTGTGTTAAGAATACACATACATAATTCTGCTCCCAAAATTACAAAATAAAAATTCTGATTTATAAAAAACTAAATAATTTCAGAAAAACACAAATTCTGATTTTTAAAATAGAAACACAAAAATTTCTCATTAATTATTTAAATTAAATTTTATTAATTTCAATTTTTCTTTTAATTTTTAACATTTAAAAATTTCCTATTTTAATCACAATTTCTCTTTATTTTTTATCATTTCCATTTTTAACTGTAAATATTTATCTAGAATTTATTTTAATTAAAATAATCTGTCTATATTAATCTATCCTTTCCTATAATAAATAAAAGCTTCTTCCCTTTCTAGTAAATTCTTTTTCTTTTTTTTCTTCCGCATTTTAACATTTTTTAAATATTTTTACAGTTAAATCAGTCTATAAATATTGTTGGATTTTTAAATATTTTCTCAGTCAGTTTTCGAAATTTTTTAAAATAAATTAAAATATATTTTATTTTATTAAATAAAGATGATGTAAAAATCTCTGAGAAGTCATTCTATTTTTATTTTTTGTTTTTAATTATTAATTTAAAAATATGTACAAAATGTTCATAAAAATCTGTCTAGTATATTAAAGACTACTCCACCCTTTAAATATTTCTGGTATTCTGATTATACAAAAATACATTCCTTCTTTTTAATTTATTCTGATTTTAAAGTTGTATTTTCAAGATTTACAAATAAATTCTGATTATTTAATCAAAATCAGAAAACCATTAAATTCTGATTTTTAAAATTACAAAGTAATTCTGATTTTATTTTGTAAAATACAAAAATCAGAATTATTTTTATTTTGAAAATCAGAATTAATTTTATTTCAAAAACCAGAATTAATTTATTAAAATCAGAATAATAGAATAAAACTCTCCAAATACAATTCTGTTTTCTGAAAAATACATATTCTGATTAGAAAATACAACTTTATTTAAACATTCTGATTTTTAAATAATTCCGACTATAAAAATTCTGACTATAAAAATTCTGATTCTGAAATATAACAAAAATAGATAAAATACAATTCTGATTTTAAAATAAAATACATTCTGATTTTAAATTATAACATTTTATAAAAAATTCTGATTCTGAAATATAACAAATATAGATAAAATACAATTCTGATTTTAAATAAAATACATTCTGATTTTAAATTATAACATTTTATAAAAAATTCTGATTCTGAAATATAACAAATATAGATAAAATACAATTCTGATTTTAAATAAAATACATTCTGATTTTAAATTATAACATTTTATAAAAAATTCTGATTCTGAAATATAACAAATATAGATAAAATACAATTCTGATTTTAAATAAAATACAGAGTTCTTTCCGGAAAACACAAAAATTTTTAAATTTTACCAAAAACAAACTTGTTATTTAATTATTTGTTATTACTAATCCAGGCGTATTTTTGTTTTAATTGTACAAAAAGAGTTTCTTTTCTTCTTCCTTTTATTCAACTTGTATTTAATTATTACTCATACTATAATTGTTTGTTTGTTTTATATTTTCTATTAAAATAAAAGATAAAATTTTTCATTCTTCTTTTATTTTCACGTGTATTTTCTGCTCCAAAATAAATATATTTATTTAAATATTCTTTTTACTTTACATATTTATACTCTGAATATTTTATTTAAATATTCTGGTCATATAAATTCATAATCGCTAAACGTAACAGGGTCAATTATTGTTCAAATTTTTATATATAAACTTGCCATTTTTTTTAATTTTGGTTTTTATAAAATTTGAAATTTAAATTTTTTTATTTAAATTCAGATTTTTATTATAATATTTTAAGATTTTTATTCATAATTTTCAAGCCTATTTAATTATTTAAACACTCAATGCAAATTGTTTTAAAACACAAATTCTGATTTATTAAAAATATAATTCTGAATATTTTATAGAAATTCTGATTTGTAAAATTCGAAATATTTTTTGAAAATTCTTTTCTGATTTGTAATAATAATTTAAATTTCTGATAAAAATCAGAATTAAATTTATATATTAAAAATTTGAATAAATATTCTCAAAAATATCAGAACAAAATTCTTTTTATAGAATTCAGAATAAAATTCTGATTTTCAGAAATCAGAATAAAAATTCTGATTTTAAATATAATTAAATGAATTATATTTTTCAGAATACATTTTTCCCTTTCCTCCCAGAGAATATTCTGATTTGTAAAATTTCCAATTACAAATTAAATAAAGTTGCTAATTTTATAAATTAACTTTCCCACATAAAAACTCAAAGAATGAATTTTATCTTTAATATATTAATAATATTTATTTTTAATAATATTTTCTCTAAGCCTCACACATTACATCACACCTTGTTACTATGGTCTTTGCTTTTTTTGTTATAATTTTTTGTTATAATTTTTTTTATTTTTGCAAATTTTTTTATTTTTTCCATTGTTTTTTTCAATAAAAATTCCTTTCCTTCTAGGCGATTTTGCAATATGATTTTTTAGTTAGTGCAACACAGTTGAGCAAAAATCTTCAAAAACAATTAAAAATATTTTCCTATCACATTTTCCGTCTTTTTTTAATTTTAATTTAATTTATTCAATTTGTATTAGTCACATTAATTAAAGATGACATTCTTTTAATTTTATTTTTATTTAACTAAATTATTTTTAAATTAAAAAATTTTTTTATTAAAATTTCTAAAATTTATTTAAAATTTTTATTTTTTTTTAATTTTTAAAATTTGGGTAGTGAGTTTTCCATTCTTGAGGAGTTTCTGAGAACGTAGTTGTAAGGGAATTGACTATCGTGATCGGAGTCGGAATAACCTATAGAAAAACAGGAAGAGTCAGGGAGTTCGGAAATTGTGTTCGTGGACATAATTTCCAACTTTTTTAGAGTTTCGGAATTACTTTAGGAATATTTTAAATTATTTCACATACAAAAATATTTTTTTAAATGATTCTTGATAAATTATTATTTTTAAAAGATTAATAAAAATTTTTTGGAATATTTAAAATATTTTTTAAATATTTTTTAGAGTCTAATTTTAATTAAATAAAAAATTTAATTTTTAGGAAATTCTAAAAAATAAATTAATATTTTTCTAAATGATGGAAGCATTATCTCCCCCCGATCAAAACAATTTTCGCCATCTATCCAATATTTCCCCCTCACATTTCTCGCCTTCTTCCTCATCTTCTTCTTCACCCTGTGGCTTTGATTCTTCCTCAGATGTGGAACAACGATTTAAAAATAATAAAAATCTTGTGGGGAAACGATTTTATGTTTCTAGAGTGCAAACACCCCAAATAAATGAACAACAAAAAAATAAAGAAATTGGGAAATTAAATAAAAATAAAATTGAATTAAATGATGAAATAAATTCTGAAATTGCTACAAATACTAGAATTAGTAATGATGAGGAAATAATTACGTTTAGATACACGTGGCCTGTTAAAATTACGGAAAGGTAATAATTATTTTACTAAATTGAAATAAAAACTAAAATTCTGACTAAAAATTACAAATTCTGATGAAAAAAATTTATAAATTCTGATTTTATTAATCACAAATTCTGATTTTAAGAATTCACAAATACTGATTTTAATACACACTTAAAAATTCTGATTTTAATATTTACAAATTCTGATTTTAAAAATTTACAAATTCTGATTTTAATATTTACAAATTCTGATTTTAATACAAATTCTGATTTTAAAAATTTACAAATTCTGATTTTAATATTTACAAATTCTGATTTTAATACAAATTCTGATTTTAAAAATTTACAAATTCTGATTTTAATATTTACAAATTCTGATTATAAAAATTTACAAATTCTGATTTAAATTTTTACAAATTCTGACATTAATTACAAATTCTGACTTTATTAATTACAAATTCTGATTATTATTTTAAATTATTTAAAAATCTTTCTTTACAGACTAATCTCCCTCGGTGAAACAGCGATTTTAAACGTCAGTCCACCTTTTTGCACTGCCTATAATGGAGTTCAATTCACCTGGCTTTTGCGGATTTGTGAAGAAAATATACTTTTTAATGACGGAATTAGTAACGAGAGTACTTTATCTAGTGGAAATTATAACGAAAAGAAAAATAGTTTTGTTGGGAAGAAGAAAGTAAACATAACCTTGTATTACAAAGATGGACCAGCTAGGGATGTTAGACTACACGGGGGAGAGTAAGTTGATTTGTTTTTTTATTAAATTCTGATTTTGAACTGATTCAAAAATAGAATTCTGATTTTTAAATAAAATCAAGGAACACTTCTTTCATATAATAAATCAGAAATTCTGACTTGAAAATATGTACAAAAATATTAAAAATAATTCTGATTCTATTTTCACAAATTCTGATTTAATAAAATTAAATTCTGACAGAATTTTGGTTTCTAAAATACAAATTCTGATTATATTTCTGACAGAATTCTGGTTTCTAAAATACAAATTCTGATTTACAAATTCTGATTATATTTCTGACAGAATTCTGGTTTCTAAAATACAAATTCTGATTTACAAATTCTGATTATATATTCTGACTTAATTCTGGTCTCTAAATTACAATTTCTGATTTCTAAAATAAAAATGTAAAAATAATTCTGATTCTGTTTCTTCAATTATTTTTTAATTCTTATTTCTTAACTAATTTTCAGAATATCAATTCTCAACTCGAAAGGGCTCATTTTTGATCAAATGCCTCTATGTGAATTAGAATATATTAAAGGAGGTGGCTGGTCACCAATTAATAATATGTGTGTTGAAAACAATAATATTAACTCAATTTCTGCCGAACAATTAAAATTTATTGAATTTATACATTCTCATGTTGGTAGACATATTTCTGTGAGGATTAAATTGGAGTGAGAGAATTTTAAAAATTTTTAATTTGGAAAATTCTGATTTAAAAATATTCTGATTTAAAAATATAAAATTCTGTTTTAATATTGAATCAGAATTTTTTTTAATTTTATTAACCAGAATTTTATATAATAAATTAAAAAATTCTGATTTTGGCGAAATCTCTGATTTTGTTGAAATTCTGATTTTAGTGAAATTCTGATTTTAGTGAAATTCTGATTATAAATGAATTCTGATTTTTATAAAATTCTGATTTTAGTAAATTTATGATTTTGGCGAAATTCTGATTTTAAATAAATTATGATTTTGTATAATTCTGATTTTATGAATAAAATACACAATTATGTCAAAAATACTAAATGATAATTTAACGGAACACAAAATTCTGAATTAATAAAATACAAAAATTCTGATTTTAATTTAAATTATAGAATGCCTGTCAGTCTCTTCCAACCACTACAATATTTACCAAGCATAGACTCCCCATTGAGCGACAAATTGGAAGCTTTGTGTGCCCAAGTATTGGAGGAAATTCGTTCAAACCAACTTAAAGTCCCCGATGTTGAATTTTTTGATCCTAAAGCAGACAAATATGCTTTGTATCGACATGTTTATTTATTTGCTTGTCAAGTGATTTTTGAACGATTTACTAATAATGAATGGGCGTTGTTGAAAAATTCAGCAGAATTAAAAGAAAAAATTAGCAATGTAAGGGAGTTATTATTATAATTTTAAAATTGAATAAAAAATAAATTTCAATATTAAAAATTAATTAAAATAGGAAATAGCGCTGGAATCCGTTCCTTCATGGTCGAAAATTTTGGTGTTGGAGTTTGTCAGGGTTGAAAATGTTGAGGATTGGGATCGACGTTTTCGGCCTTTGTTTCCAATCACCTTATAATGATTGGTGCTTTAAAGAGTACCTATCATCTATTGGCAAACCAAATTGAACGATAAACTCTTAAATTGAGGTGTGATTATATGACACCTCATAGGATACACTCCTCTAGATAATACCCCCTGGGGTCTTTAAATTATACCACCGAAAATTAATTAAAAATTAATTTAACACAAAAAAATATTACATTTTTAAGATATTTGCCCATTATTACTTTAACAAAATAATTGTAACCGAAGCAGAATGTTTTGAAGATTTTTTAGAAGCTTTGGATGCTTCCATGCATGTACAGTTTCCTGCTTTGCGCAGGGAATGTGAAAGATATATTTGTGGTGAAGTTATTGCTGTTAGTCTATTTTCATTTAAATTAATTTAAAAAATTAATTTTTTAAAGGAATCAACAGATTTGTCTTTGGCTAAGAAAATGCTTGTTTTGGCTGCTAGGTTTAACCTGCCTGTTTTAAAAATGGTAGCTTACTAATAATTCAATTTATTAAGGAGAGGATTTTGAATTTATATAGAGTATTATATATCATTCGATAGAGAATTTAATTTGCTACAAAATAGTTTTAAGAAAAAAATTTTACTTAGCTAGATGGAAAGTTGAGGGCGAAACCTTGCATTTAGTCTAAAAAGTTTATTCCCTATATGTATAGAGATTTTTCTTCCACAACTTTTTGTTAGTCAACATAAAATTTAGTCTTAATTAGTGTTAGTCAAATGGAGTTTTCCGGGGCACCGGAAGTACCTTAAAGTACTGGGCCGGTTGAGTTTATCTCACGTCGAGACAGTACCTTAAATTCCAAAATCCGACCGACACCAGTAGCATCTTAAAGTATTGTTTCTTTACTTTCGGTAGTACCGCGGAAGAGCGAACCGCGGAAGCCAAACACTAGATTATAGCAAATTTTGCAGAGAATGTAATTGGCTATCGAATAATGCCAAAAAATTCTATAACTGTTTAATTAGCATAAATTTACAGTGCCTTAACTATATAAAATCTTATATTGACACTTTTAAAGGTATCTTTTGGTGTTATAGTCGATCGTCTTTTGTTGTTACAAGATGGAAACACTCAAAATAACAATAGTAATTCAAATTCTCTTACAAATATATCAGATGAAATTACTGAAAATATTTCAAATCGAAAATTCGGGCGTGGAAGTCAAGATAGCGGTAATATGACTCTTGAAAGTAGTATGGATGAAATACGTGAAGAATTGCTTGAAATTGCTGAAAAAATAAAGTAAGGAACTAATATTTAAGTTGCTTTAATCGTTATACGGTATTTTGTGATCTGGCTATCGGTTAAGGGACCCATAATGCGGATACTTTTCGACTCACAGCCATATCAAATTTTTAAAATTGACCCATCTTTGGTTTTCACCAGATATTTATAGCACAAACACTTGAACATAAACACTTAAACGTTTGCATAGTATATAAAATTTCGATTTAGCATTAACATAGATAATAAGTTTATACTCATTTTTGAATTGTTTTTCTTTTTTTTTGCTTCGTTTCTATATTTTTGAAAGCCTGGCTATTTTGCTTTGGCTAATATTATTGAGCTTTCGTTTTCATAAGTTACTATTATGTTAGATTATAAGCATTCAAAATTATCCCATAAAATTTAAAATGTTTGGTTTACTAAATTATAACCAGTCTGGTATAATAAAAAAAGCTCATTTTTCGATTTCGTAATTGTTTTATGGAAGCCTAACGCTATTTGCTATTAGGTCACGAGTTTATCGAGTTAGTCGTAATGTCGACCTTTTTTCGACCCTGAATGGATGAAATACGTGAAGAATTGTTTGAACCCCGGTGCCATATACGAATTTTCTGACATGCAACCTCATTTTTTTTTAAAATACCAAAAACTGATTTAAACCCTTTGCATAATATGTAAGTTCTATTTTTAACAGGGATGAAAACTTAAATACTTCCTTTGATCTTTTGTTTTTTATTTCTTCTTTTTCTATATTTTTGTAAGCCTGGCAAGTTTGCTAAGCTAATATTTTTGACCTGTTGCTTTCTTATGCGGCTATTATTAAAACCGCGAGTTTAACGAGGAATTAACTGTGTTAATCTATACTAAATAACACTAATATTTAAATTATTTTAATCGTTACGTGGTATCAGGATCTATTCTTTGTTTGACCGTTTTCCCTGTATTTTTTAATTGTACTATCCTTTTTTGTCTTGGACCCCATTCTTTTAAAATAACAAAAACTAATTTACAGCCTTTGCATAATATATAAAAGTTCAATTTTGCTTTAACATAAATCAAACCTTTATTGTTGATTGTGACTTTATTTCTTCTTGTTGTTTCTTCATATATTTTTGTAAGCCCGGCAAATTGCTATGGCTAATATTTTTTAGCCTTCGTTTTCGATATGAAATTAGACTGATCATGGGAAGGCTAATATTTGGATCCTGTATCCGAACAGAAAATTTCCGGATTTTCGGTCTTTTTCTGATCCGGATCCGTCAACCTTATTTCATTTTTTGTTATGAAAACTGCTGGTATAACGGGAAGCTCAATTATTAATTTATACTAACTATAAAATGAAGCAAAGAAATTTCCTTTCTTTCAGTCACGTAGATCACAGCAACAACCATCACCTGTTCCATTCATCCTCTGATAATATAGAAAATTCAAAAAGTCATCAAAATCAGCAACAAAAACAATTAAAATTTCGTCGGCAACACAGTAACAGTTTGTGTAGTCCAACCTCCCCAACAAACCCCCAATTTCCAAAAATAACAAAATCCACAACGTTTTTGTCAAATTCAGCTCTTTTGAATGATAAAGATGAAGAGGAAGAAGAAGATGATGAGGAAGATGATGATTCTGATGAGTTTGAACCTGGAAATGAAACACTTGTGGGGACTGTTGTTTCCCAACTTGAACAAATGGCTAGATATATAAGAAAGGTTTCTATGCCTCCTGGGGCTAGTCCGGCGCCGTTAAGTGGTAAGGAAAAATTTTTGAATTTTTATAATTATAACAAATATTAGTTAATAAAAATTATAAAAAATAAATAAAAAATGCTTCAGTTAATAATTTTACTGTATTTATGTACCGTAAATCTCTCAATAGTATCCTTGGAAGTTTATTTTTCAATGGGTCACAATGTGTAGGCTTCTAATAGGGGATGAGCACATAAATTTGTATAAATTATGTGCTAGTATTAGGATATCTACTACCGTATTTCCTCTAAGATAAGCCCCGCGGTTTATTTTTTTGTTCGATCTCTAGAGGGGGCTTATTTTGGATGAAGGGGGGGTGTATCTTAGAGGGGACTATTTTAGAGAAAATACTTTAATTCTTATTTAAAAAAATTTTTTAGCAGAAACAATAAATCAAAACAACAATGAGGATTTAATTATTCCTTCATCCTCCTCTCCATCAGTAATGAACGAAACTAATCAGAACAATAAAAATTTAAATCATCGTCGTTCTAGTTTAATGACTTGCAGAGAAATGTTGCTTCAACAAAATTTAAAAGAAGAAGAAAATTATTTAAATAAGGGAATTGGGAAGGAAGATAATACTAGCAACTTTTTTAGTCAATTATATGCTGGGACTAAATTAAATAATAATACAATTGTAAATTCTGATTGTAATTATGTAGATCAGAATGATGGGCAATACAAATGGTAATAATAAAATTAATAATTCTATGGGGAGAGTGGCAAAACACCGTGCGACTAAGGTTGGCGGTTCCGGTTATCCGGAACCGAAAAAAGACCGGATAACCGAAAAATTCGGTTATCGGTTCCGGTTCCGGATAACCGAAAATTTTCGGTTCGGTTATCGGTTCCGTTTCCGGATAACCGAAGATTTCCCTGGAACCGCCAACCTTACGTGCGACAAAAATAGACCGTCCACTTTTGTTGATAATATATTCGACTTTTTATTGATATTACATCCTAATATCTTTATAATCTACGGATATTGTTTTAAGCAGACTAGAACATGGATACGGATATGGATAAGATATTGTAAATATGCCTGTGGATATCCGTCTGTATCCGGATACCAAAATCAGTATCCGTGTCCTAGTCTGGTTTTAAGAAAATCATTTGCCTAAATATTCTAGAGATTTCTATTCCAATGAGTGGACTGTGTTTGTCCCATTTCAAAATTTTAATTCCGATTTTAATTTCTGTTTCGAATTCTTTTGAAATTTCCTGATTAGAAACTTTTAATAAATTATTTTTTCTGATATTAAAATATTATAATTTTAGTGAATCAGAAGTCAATACCAAAAACAACAACAATTTATTTAATAAATTGCCACACTCTTCTAAAGTAATAACTATAAGTGATAAAGTTGATGTAATAGAAGATCCATTTTCTAATGAAGAAATGAGAGGGAGAAATGTTAATTTTGAGGAGGATAATAATTAATTTTGGAGAGATTATATTTAATTTATACAGATTTTATATTTTCCCAAAACTTTAATTTTTTTTTAATTTTTTTACCCGGTTTAATTTTTTGCGGATTAAATTTTTTTTTCGATAAAAATTTTTATATTTAATTAAAAACCGGGTTTTTAAATATAAATACATATTAAAATTATTTTATCTGCCAATAAGGAGAAAAATTTCAAAAAAATTTCTGTCCTTTTTCTTAAATAATAATTATAATTAGGGTTGTCGTTTCCTGGAAATTCTTCGGATATTCGAAACGAACCGAAGATCCGAACCGAAAAATCCTCGGCTCTTCGTTCGGTCCAGAAACCGACAACTCTAATTTTAACTAATAATTATTGTTTATTGTAAATATTTATTAAAAGAATTTTCAAATTTTAAATATTTTTCGTCAATTAAAAAGTGCAATTTAACTTACTAAAATTTAGTTTTTACTAAATTATATAATATAATCTAAATTCAAAATTTACATTTTTTCCGGAAGATGATTTTACAAAATTTTAATTTATTACCCAAGTTAATTTCTAGTTAAATTGTACGGTATATTGGGGTTGTCGATTTTTCCTTTTTGGAATATTTTTTACGTAAAATTTTAAGTAAAAATTTTTAAATCATGATTTTAAAAATTAAAAAAAGAATTTTTTTAAATACAAAATGGCAATCCTTAATATTTTATTCATTCATTTATTTATTTTTTAATACACTTCTCCCGGTGTTCGTTCTTCCTCACTCTCCCCTTAAATTTTTATTTAAATTAAAAAAATTTTATTTAAAAGTTAGTTAAATTACATTATAAATATTATATTTTCACTTTATTCGAATAAATTGGTTTTGAAAAAATTTTAATTTTAATTGTAGTTTATGTAGAAACCTTCTTACGTAATAAATTAATGAATGAGGGAATTAAATAAAAACAAAATTAAATAAAGAATTAAAAGTTCGATAAAAAATATTTTTAATTTGTCTACTCACGTAAAATTAATTCGTCTTTTATCGGCTTAATTATTTTTTATTACATATTTATTTGTTCAAATATTTAGTCACAGATAGAGTTGCACGAGATCGAGATTTTAGAAAAAATCCGAGACCGAGATTGACCGAGACTCGCATGACCGAGACCGAGATGCAAAATTTGACCCGAGACCGATATCGAGATCCGAGATAAACCGAGATTTCTCAAAACCTTTTTTATCCACCAAAACCCGTTTAAATTAATTAAATATCATCTAAGTCATCATCAAAATCATATGTTTCATCAGAATCAATTTCAGTTGGTGGACCAAGCAACAGTTTATCCATATTTGCCTTTACAACTATAATTTTTTCCACCATTTCTCTAGAATGACTTAAGTATAAAGGGTAGGGGACACTTGTGTACGGGACACTTGTTTATTAGAAGGGGTCGGTCTGATAGACAGACGGTTTATTTTTCAACCTTCCTCTACGGGGTCGGTTTATTAGAAGGGGTCGGTCTATTAGAGACAGTCGCACTATTAGAAGAAATACGGTGTATATATGTACATATGTCACCGTCCAAATTATATTCTTGTCCAAATTGAATTTGGCCGGCCAATTGGGGACTGAAGCCCCAAATTTTGGATTTTTCTTCGTGTTCAAGGTTGGGGGTGTGTTCCGTAATAGTTCTCCATGTCGAGACCTACGTCCACTTGATCTGGGACCATTCCGTACCCTATTCCTCGAAATTTCTGAAAGATATAGCCAACTTTTAAAAATTTCAGAAAAACGATTACAACCTTAAGAAATTTCGAAAAATATGGTAAGGAATGGTCGCGTCGACCTTAGCGAAGTGGGGCCGCGTTCCGCTCGACATGCCCGGCTTCCTCCGCAGCGGCAACTTTTTTCCGCGAAGATTGATGTGTATTCGGCCGCGCCTATTTGTCCTGCTCCGCTCTATAGACAACTAAATTAAAGTGAGCACAACAATATACCAATAGCGGAATTTTAAATATTTTGTCAAAATAAAAATAAATCTCAAGAAGGTCAATCTTTAGGGGTGTATACTGATCTCGGATCTCGGCGAGATTAAGTGCCGAGAATCTCGTCTCGGTTAGGTTGTCTCGTCTCGGCAAAACCGAGACCGAGATTGGGAAATGGCCGAGATTCTCGTCTCGGTCTCGGTCGAGATATCGATCTCGTGCAACTCTAGTCACAGAAGAAACAGAAAAACTTGAATAACGAACTATACTTTGTCACAAACTATTATAATAACATTAATTTAACAGCGAGACCTATGCGTTGATAGGACTGATAACTAGAGGTATTTTGAAACGCCTAGTTCTTCCTAAAATTTAAGTATATTGCTAAGTTCCGACATGTGTGCAATTCAATTTCCGGCAGTCATTCCGATGACTGCCGGATCGGAATGACTGCCGGAAACTGCCGAACTACAAAAATAATTAAAATTTTCTTCAGAATTTCTTCAAAATTTTCTTTATTCTTCCTAAATTTTAAGATTATTACTGAGTTCAGCAATGGGTGCTAATTCGATTTCCGGCACCCTACATAGTCATTTCCGATCACCCCTGCTGACAACTAACCAAACAAGACTTAACTCACACGACCTTAAAATTTTCTTCAAAAATAATTTTGGTAATTATTCAGCTGATAAAAATAAAGGAAAAAAAAGAAGAAAAAAATTAATTTGTCATAAACTACAAACAATTAAAAATAAATTTAGACAAAAATTTTCAAACTACAATTAAGAAAACGTTGATGGAATTAAATATAAATGTCAACAAATTTAAGAAATATTTAAATAAAAGAAATGATAATAATTTTTATTATTTTAGAACTAATGTACTTTTGTCGAAAATTAATTGTAAATTATTTAAAAATTAATTCTGGAAAGATTTTTTAAATTAAAATAAGAAATTGTAAAAATTTATAGATACAATTGTAAAATATTACAACTTTCCGGAATGATTTTTATTAATTAAATAATTGGTATAACTTTCCGGAAAAATTATTAAATCATTTTACAAAATTCCAGGAAAACTATTAAACCATTTTACAAATCTTCCGGAAATTAATTAAAAATATTAATAAGTTTTCCGGATTTGTTTTTTCCGGAAATGTATAGTTGTTTGTAAAATAGGTATTACATACATATTTCCGGAATGATATTTATTAATGAATTTATTTGTGTAGCCTTCCGGAAAATTTATTTAATAATATTACAACTATCCCGGAAAAATTGTGATATTTTACAATCCTTCCGGAAAAGTAATAAAGAATTTACAAACTTTCAGGAAAACGATTAAATCATTTTACAAACCTACCGGAAATTTATTACACATATTAAAAAGCTTTCAGGATTGGTTTTTTTCGGAAATGTATATGTTGTTTGTAAAATATTACAAATTTCCGGAATGATTTTTATTAACTGAATTAATTAGTATAACTTTCCGGAAAATTTATTAAATCATCATAAAACTCTTCCGGAAAAACTTAAATATTTTACAATTCTTCCGGAATAAATTTTATATTTTACAATCCTTGCGAAAAAATAATAAAGATTTTACAATTTTTCCGGAAATTTATTAAACATATTAAAAAGCTTTCCGGAATGGTTTATCAAACTCTAAATAAATTATTCATCTTTCCGGAATTATTTTACAATTGTAAAAAGTTAAATTACAAATTCCATTTCTAAAATGTTTTGCTTTTTCGACATGTTTTACAAATTTAAATTATTATTTTTAGAAATTCTAGAATTTAGTTTACAAATTATATGTCAAATAATTTTGTCAATGTATGAATATGTTTTTTTCCGGAAAATATTTATTTTAATTTAGTAAATTTAAAATTTTTTAATACATAGAATATTTCCCTGAAAATACGATCATTATGATTTCTATACGCTTCAATTTCCTTAAATATTTATATCCAACATTATGTTTATCCACTTTAATTTTATTTACTTTACAACACAAATCTGATAATTTACAATCAGAATTTAAAAAGGGAAAACAACTTAAAATACTTGTATATTCACCCTCTGTGAGTTGGAGTCATGCAAAATTTTTGGGAAGAATTGCGGATACTTTAGTTGATGCTGGCCATGAAGTGGTTAGTTAATCAAATTTTTAGTCATAGTAACTTTGTGCCGGTGAATGTGTAACCGATGGCACCGTCCATGTATCTTACCAGTCATGTTGTTTAAAGCGCCGAAGAATGGATACTGGAGGCAAGATGGGAACGGAATGTCGCAAAAGTCAGGGGATTCACATTGAAATAAGGTGGATGGTTTGGGGGTTGATGATCCAAAACGCCTTACGTCATTATAAGCAAACACAATTTTTAAATTATTTTTAAAGCATTTCGTCAAGTACATCATGAGCCCACTTTTGCTACAACGAAACGAAACTACTAAAGTTACTAAAATTCATATAATAGAGAAAGGTCTTGAAAACAATGAAATTATGGATATTAAAGATCAACCAATGGTTTCGGAATCTTTCACTAAAAAAAGACAATACCTAACGCTATTTGATCATCCTATGCATCAATTCGGCCCTATGATGGCTATGTCGTGCAAAGGTAAAAACTAATTTTAAACAGCTCAAAGGATACAAACTTACGGAATATATCTAAATAGATGGATTTTTTAGAAACAGATGCTGGGCTAATTTCTGATTTTTTCTGATTTATAATGTTTTTACAGAGACACTTAAACAACCAATTTTACTACAAAAATTGACAAATGAACGTTTTGATGTCGGCATAGCGTAGATGTATGATTATTGTCCTTCAGCTCTTTTCCATAAAATTGGTGTTCGAACAAAGCTGACTGCCTATGCAATTCCTTTATTTCAAGCGACAAGTCGCATTTTTGGCATTCCAAATTTTCCTAGCTTTATGCCAAGTAAGTAATAATGATATAATATACTAGATAAGGCGCCAAACGCATCCCTGAAATAACAAAAGATCGGATAGCACTTGATGATAAGTTCATCTCAAACCGCTAACTATCAGCTAGTTGTTTTTAGTTTTATTTGGTAGACTTAGAGGGAAAAAATCCGAGAAAATCATATCAACACGAAGATTTCACCTAGTCTTCCTTCAATAGCTCTCACAGCCTGACACTTAACACTACGGGTGGGTAAACAATCGAATCGCCTCCCCTGCTAATCTAACCTTAACTCTCAAAGGAAACTATCATTGATAAAAAGTAGTTACTTTAATCTAATATGATAATTTTTAAATTTCGGATATTCCTAGAGTAAAAATTCTCACAAGATTTTTTGAGACTGAGATTCTTTATCAATCGCTAATAAAGCAAAATTATTGAAAACGTTAAGATGTGATGGTACCAATACCAGGGCTCGAACATTCTTTCGTTTCACGTTCCATAAATTTTTCTCTTCGACTGGCTTTGGACTGGTGATCCTCCTCTCCATCAGTAATGAACGAAACTAATCAGAACAATAAAAATTTAAATCATCGCCGTTCCAGCTTAATGACTTGCAGAGAAATGTTGCTTCAACAAAATTTGAAAGAAGAAGAAAATTATTTAAATAAAGGATTTGGGAAGGAAGAAAATACAAGCAACTTTTTTAGTCAATTATATGCTGGGACTAAATTAAATAATGTTATAAATGGAAATTCTGATTGTAATTATGAAAATCAGAATGATGGACTATACAAATGGTATAATAATTTATAAATAAGTGTGGAGTGGGGCAAGAGGGGCAAATTATAAATCAGTGAAGTAGAGGACAAAACACCGTCCGACAAATTAAAGCCCATCCATCAGAATAAAGTATCATCAAATTTTAACTATTGGAAATTTGACTTATGTTGATATTATGCTGTTCTAATATTATTATACATTATGGCTATTGGGGCTTGGTTTTGTAAAATTTTATTTGAAAATTTTTACTACAATATGTGGACTATTGATGTTCGGGTATCCCGACTCACGATTCAGGAAAATTTTCCGAGTTTTTGGCCTCCCGACTCCTCCCCCCTTTCGACTCCTACCGACTTTCTACTTTCCCAACCCGACTCCACTTTCCCGAATTTTTCTTCTCTAGAACATCAAAAATGTAGACGGTGTTTTAGTCTGACCCTGTTTTGCCCCGACATTATAAATTAGATATACCTATAAGCATTAATTCTGATTTTAATTAGTTTTTATATTTCTGATTTTTACTTTTTTTCTGATTTTTCCTTTTTATTTGAATTTCTTAATTTTTAGTGAATCAGAAGTCAATACCAAAAACAACAACAATTTACTTAATAAATTGCCACATTCTTCTAAAGCAATAACTATAAGTGATAAAGTTGATGTAATTGAAGATCCATTTTCCAGTGAAGAAATGAGAGGGAGAAATGTTAATTTTGAGGAGGATAATAATTAATTTTGGAGAGATTATATTTAATTTATACAGATTTTATATTTTCCCAAAACTTTAATTTTTTTCTAATTTTCATACCCGGTTTAATTTTTTGTGGATAAAATTTATTTTTCTTGGAAAAAATTTTTTTATATTTAATTAAAAGCCGGGTTTTTAAATATAAATACTATTAAAAATATTTTATTTTATCTGACAATAAGGACAAAAATTTCAAAAATATTTTTGTCATTTTTCTTAATTAATAATTACCGTAAATATTGTATTATAAGCCCACCTCGGTTTTTATTAATCTAAATAACTACACCCTCCTCTAATTTATATTAATTATTATATTATTCTATACGAGGAGACCCATTGAAAAATATAAGCCCAGTGCTAATATTAGAATACTTGCGGTAATTAATAATTATTGTTTATTGTAAATATTTATTAAAAGTATTTTCAAATTTTAAATATATTTTTTTATTAGAAAGTGCAATTTAACTTACTAAAATTTATTTTTTATTAAATCTAAATTCCAAAAGTTAATCTTTCCGGGATAAAATTTACAAAATTTTAATTTATTAAGTTAATTTTTAGTTAAATTGTGCGGTATTTAGGGTTGACGATTTTTCTTTTTAAGAATATTTCGAAGTAAAATTTTAAAATTACGATTTTAAGAAATTAAAATAAAATTTTTTAAATACAAAATGGCAATCCTAATACATATTTTATTCATTTATTTATTTTTTTTATTACACTTCTCCCGGTGTTCGTTCTTCCTCTTCTCCCCTTAAATTTTTATTTAAAAGTTAGTTAAATTTACATTATAAATATTATATTTTCACTTTATTTGAATAAATTTGTTCTGAAAAAAATTAATTTTATTGTAGTTTATGTAGAAACCTTAATTAATAATATAATGAATGAGGGAATTACCACCGTAAATGCTCTAATTGAAGCACAGTCTCTATTTGAAGCAGTCTCTAATAGAAGCACACCCTACGAGCAGATCGAAAAATAGAAGCACACGTGCTTCTATTAGAGCATTTACGTTAAGTAAAAACAAAATCAAATGAAGAATTAAAAGTTTGGTAAAAAATATTTTTAATTTGTCTACTCAAGTAAAATTAATTATTTTTTATCGGCTTAATTATTTTCATTACATATTTATTTGTTCAAATATTTAGTCACAGAAGAAACAGAAAAACTTGAATAACGAACTATACTTTGTCACAAACTATTATAATAACATTAATTTAACAGCGAGACCTATGCGTTGATAAGACTGATAACCAGAGATACATATGTCGAAACGCCTAGTTCTTGCATTCTTTTTTTCCGAGTTCCTTCATCCATAAATTTAAGATTATTACCGAGTTCCGCAATGTGTGCTAATTCAATTTCCGGCAGTATTCCGATGACTGCCGGATCGGAATTACTGCCGGAAACTGCCGGAACTACAAAAATAACAGGACTAAAAACAAATCAATGATATCCCTTGAAACTACTCTCAGTCCCTACAAATCTTCTTATATCACCGGATATCCGCTTTAATCCCTCCAAATCCTCCTTAATCACCTCCAAATCTAATTATCACTCCAATTTCTCTTATTTCCATTTAATCCCACCTTATTCTCATTAATTTCTTCAGAAATTTCTTCAAAATTTTCTTCCTTCTTTCTAAAATTTAAGATTATTGCTGAGTTCCACAATGTGTGCTAATTCAATTTCCGGCCCCTTTGTAATTTCCGATCACCCCTGCTGACAACAAACCAAATAAGACTGTACTCACGCGACCTTAAAATTTTCTTCAGAAATAATTTCAAAATTATTCAGCTGATAAAAATAAAACAAAAAAAGAAAAAATTAATTTGTCATAAACTACAAACAATTAAAAATAAATTTAGACAAAAATTTTCAAACTACAATTAAGAAAACGATGAAGGAATTAAATATAAATGTCAACAAATTTAATAAATATTTAAATAAAAGAAATGATAATAATTTTTATTATTTTAGAATTTATGTACTTTTATTAAAAATTAATTGTAAATTATTTAAAAATTAATTACGGAAACATTTTTTAAATTAGAATAGGAAATTGTAAAAATTTATTGAAACATTTGTAAAATATTACAACTTTCCGGAATGATTTTTATTAATTAAATAATTAGTATAACTTTCCGGAAAAATAATTAAATTATATTACAATTCTTCCGGAACAACTTTAATGTTTTACAATCCTTCCGGAAAAATTTCCGGAATGTTTTTATAAATTAATTAATTTGTATAACTTTCCGGAAAACCTTTAAATCATCTTACAATTCTTTCGGAATAAATACATTTATGTTTTACAATCCTTCCGGAAAAGTAATAAAGAATTTACAAACTTTCCGGAAAACTATTAAATCATTTTACAATCCTTCCGGAAACTATTAAATCATAGTACAACTCTTCCGGAAAATTATTAAACAATTAAAACGCTTTCCGGAATACTATATCAAACCTAAATAAATTATTCAACTTTCCGGAATTATTTACAATTGTAAAAAGTTTAATTAAAAATTTTATGTCTAAAATGTTTTGCTTTCCGGCATGTTTTGCAAACTTAAATTATTTTTACAAATTCTAGATTGTAAGTTACAAATTAGTCCGTAAAATAATTTTGTAATTATATATGTATGTATATTTTCTTTCTGGAATTCCTTCTAGTAATTATAAAATTTTGCTGTCAATTAGGTAACTTATATTTTTAAATATTCTGTTAATTTTCAATTAAAAAATATAGAGGGACTAAATTTTCTTTTAAATAAAAGTTAAATTGAAAATTTTACTTTTAAAATTCTATTAAAATTAAAAAAAGAACAAACAAATTAAAATTTAGACTAATTTTAATTTTAAAAAGAAGTATGCACTTAAAAAATGTTTCCCATTTTTCAAAAAAAAAATAAAATTTAATGGAGAAATTAAATGAACAAAAGAATAAACTATTAAATTTTTCTAGAAACTTAGTAAATTAAAAAAATATTTCTTTAAATT